CACTACAATAAAAACACAATGTACTCTATTCTATCAGTTTCTTATATCCTATTTACATAAAATCCCCAAATCAAAAAATGGTCCAATATCTACCTTATCTCTCAATCTACACAGTATGGTGTGTGATAGCGACCTAAATGTCACGCAGAAATAAAGTGAGCAGCTAACAAAATGTCACAACATTCTGTTTACTATTTGCACCTCGCAAAATTTCCCACCTGCACAAAAATTCTAGTTGAGGTCAGTGCTTGTGGTTTCACTTTCTCCGTTTGTTCTGTGCTCGTGGAAAGTTTTATGGCAGAAAAACAGGATGGGCTCTGGTTCAGGTATGTGTCATCAAACGTTATGGAGGACCAAAAGACAACATGATAATTGAGCTGAGGTACTTTTATCATTTTTAACTAGGAATCAAGAAGCTCTATAACATGGAATAGGTGACCAACTGTCTTTTGCAAAACCCCATACCTGAAACCCCGGTTAAAGATTTTTTTCTTTTTTTAAATTAGAACAAATAAATAAATAAACTTTTTGTCACGTCACGTCAGCTTCAGCTGTGCACGTCAAAGTCGTGTCGTGTCAAAAGGCCTCCCTTGTGTTTATGAAAAACAAAATGCAAATGAGGAAGAAAATAGGCCTATCTCAGCAAAGTGTGAGTAGATTGGCTTTGCTTACTTCTGCATTTTCAGATGATGTAACTCTTTCCAAACAAAAGTCAAAATCAAATGCCATTAAGCTGAATGAATCACAGTTTCACTAGAGAAAAACAGAGGAAGCACTGGTACTGCAGACGTTTTACAATAACTTGTGAACCAAAGTCAGAGTGGGTGAGGATGGACACCTGAGACGTGATAAATTCATGTTGGAAACAAGGAGTCATGTTGTATCTCGTGGGAAACAACATCAGCGCGATGCTGTCAGTTTCCGGAAAATCTACTGAACAAACACAGAAAAATGAAAATGTTGACACAGACCTACATGTGGTAGCAACACTGATGTCATGAGATACACACTGCATGAGAAAACATCTCACCAGTAAAACTAGACTCAGTCCATATTTGATCAACTTTTATTCCTGTGACAGACACCGATGTGCTACTTCCTCCGTGCTTTTCTCTAAAGTATGATGAATTACAGCCATCTAGAGGACGACAGTCAGAAATGCACAAAGGTTTATGATAAATAGTAAGATTAATAGGCAGTAATAGACAATCTTTTTCACTGTTGGTGAATGACTTTGAAAATAAAACAATTCTTGCAGAATGGCTGATAATTCATTAGCTGGAGATTTTCTTCAGACAACATTAGTTATAAGTGGAAATGACAGAAAAAAGTTAAATATAAAAATTGACATTGTTAGCTGTTATATATACTGTTTTACTACATATATTTCTACTAGAAAACTGAATACTTTTTTTCAGTTTATTATTTCAAAACTACTTTTTTCCCAAGCTGAATTTTTTTTACTGCAGTTTGTAAAGCAACTATTTCATGTTTAAAGAAAATTAAATTATGAAAAGCAATAAAATAAATGTACCCCTACTTGAAAAAGTCAAAATGTGTCATATCAGAAATTTCAATGTATTTCATTGTGATTTACCAAGACAAAGTAGCACATAACTGTGAAGTGGAAGAAAAGGATAAACAGATTTCAAAATCTTGTACCAATAAAAATCTAAAAAGCTTATGATACACTGGTTTTACATTCCCTTTACTTTGTTGCTTTTAAGTAAATAATCAATCAATTGCTTTTCGAGGGAATCCTCTGTGTAATTTCATCTTGGTATAAAGTTTGAATCAGAGGACTTGATTCAAACGAGGGCTGAAGCTGGGCACCCATGACCTGAATCTTATATTAAACAGAGACACACAGTTACCAAACAAAAGCTCCCAGACGTGAGGTCTTTTTCAATTAAAAAGTGAAGAATTATTTTATTTCTAATCAAAAACAAAAGACAGTGACAAGTCTGTCTGCCTCAAGACACCCCAAGCGACTCGTCTCAAGGTAATTCTCGAAGTTTATACGTAGGAGCAGATGAACATGACTAACATTGCAGGGAGGGAAAGAGTCTGTATGGACTTCCTTTCTGCTCTCACTTCCACTCTTCTTGCGACTATGCTCCCCCAGACAGATGGTCTCTTTCAATTCTCTTTGGTGTCTGAACCATCTGAATCATCGTAACATGGAGGAAGTCCCCAGAAATCAAGCCAGATATAACAGTCTGAGAAGGTAGTTGGGCCATTTGAATCAAAGAGGATGACCTCTGACCCCGCGGCTTCTCTCCGTAGCATGGTTTCCTCTGTTTTTTGCGAATACTGGGTTTCAGCACTGAAACCTCCAGGAGGAAAGTGGTCTCTTCTTCTCCATTTCCGCACTGGGGATTCACTCCAGTTTCAAACGGCCCAGACAAAGCACAGACCACAATCCAATTAAGAATCAACATTTTAAAACAGATATCGATTGATGCTCAATGTTCAATCTGTTTGCACTGGAGCTATTTTGCAAAGAAGAATGTCATTGTTTAGTTGCGACAAAAATCACAAAGGATGTAACTGCAGATAGAAGTGGTTCTACGAACTTTAAAATACAATTGTTCGTTAAATTTGAATAGGGTATGAACACTTCTGCAAATACGTCACTGATCGATCTAATTGCATGAAAAATGACATAATTTGAAAGCAGTCCAATTGAAAATCAAGCTTTATTTGTTTTTATTAGAGGAATTATGGTTTTTGTGTGCCGTTTTGTTAATTTTATTAATAATTTTTCTATGTTGCAATGATGTGTCAATGAGGAAAAGAAAAGGGAAAAAGAAAAAGTCACAGCGTGCAATTAATCATCATGTTTCACAACTTTAGGCTGTTTGCATTCCTTTGTCACAAACCGTGACAGCGATCACATCTTGACTTTTTTTTCCCCCTGCTCCTTCAGAGAGCTTTCAGCAGGTGGCAGGATAACCCAAAAAGTGAAAATAAATGTGTCATCTATAAGTAATTACAGAATCTCTACCGGCAATGGAAATGAAATCATGTATTTTCTTGTATGCAGACACAGTTAAGTTTCAGAACTCTGTGGATGAGGAAAACTATCCAAAACCAATTAGCATGTCTTGGTTAACAAAATTAAATAACAAAGGTAACCAGAGCATGTACAGAACACTGTTTTTTATTTTTTTCAATGATACTTTTTAGTTTTTGCTGAACGGTTATTCGACAGACAGAAGGAGGTCTTGGGCTCAGACCCTAACCAGACAACTTCCTTCTTTTTCAGTATGCTGGTTTCCTCTCACATTCTAAAAATATGAAAGTAAGGTTTGCTGTCACCTCTAAATTGCCCAGATATATGAGCGTGAATGATTGTCCCTGTTTCCCTGTGATGACCTGGCAACCTGTTCAAGGTGTGCTCTGCCTCTCAGCCACTGACCACCGGATGAGCTCATGGCTCTCTCAATTCTTCAAGGAACAAGGAGGTAAAGAAAGTGGAAAATCCACATATGAACTAATGTGGCCCTACGTGTAACTGGTTGTACCCCTCTTGGTAGAAACTTCAGCCATTAACCTCAGTCCAGAACATGCAACCAGGTTCTACAGAGTCTTGATACGGGTTTTCTTAGTTGATTTGTTATACTGAAGCAGAGACATTAAAAGCTTTAGGATATTGGTCTTGAGATCTCAGGTTTCAGACCCATGGAGGATATTTGGCCCACTCTTCTTTGCAGAATTGTTTTAATTCAGTTTCTTTGTAGGGTGTTAGAGAATGGCTGGCTTAATTAAGGCCATGCCACAGCATCTTATTCAGATTTAACATCAGACTTGGACTATGTCAATCTAAAACAAAAGCCTGTTTTTGGTTCCCATCAGTCACAGTTCCTGAAGCAGCAAAGCCCCAGGCCTTCACGCTGCAAAAGACATGTCTAGCTGTTTCTGCTATGTACTTCTTAAAAAAACAAACACTTTATTAGATGGGGTGTGCATAAGACTGACATGACACTGTCATAAACATGAAATAATGTCTCTCAGGAACATGAAAGAGTCTTTATGAATGTTGTCATAAAGTGTCATTCTGTAAATAATGACACTGTTAAAGCAAAGTTGCTTTAAAAGTTGCCTTGAAAGTCCATTAAAAGTCCCAACTTTGCATTAAAGTGCCATTATTTCCAAAATAATGCAATAATGACACTTTATTAAAATATATTTTTATGCTAAATAAATGTAAAGGTTGGTCGCTTTTTTTTTTTTTTTTTTTTGAGTCAGTGGTGGATTTTCCAAGTAACTGCTCCCTGGAAGCCAATTATGTCAAATGTGATTCTTTATTTTGAGCTGCAATCCTTTCAATGTTGTTCTGGGTTCTTTCATGAACTCCTGGCTGAGTTGTCAATGCACCATGGAGTAATTGTGGTAGGGTGGCTCAATACTTATTGCTCTCACTTTGCTTCCCTGGACTCTCAAAAGTCTCTGAAGTAGCTTTTTGCTCCTTCCAGACTGATGTGTGTAAATCATGTTGTTTCTGCTAAAGGGGTTTCATGATTTCACAAGTCAGGCAGTAATCGGGTCTGGGCGTGGCGGGTCAAAGCGAAGCAAAACAAAAAAAAATGCTAATCATAATTAATTCATGATTCAACAAAACGGGGGAAAAAATTCCACATAGGATCAGGTTGGTTTGTTTACTTTACCTTCAATAGATGCAATCACCATTTCAGAATAGCTTTTTGTATTTACTCTGTTACTTATTGGAGACATCTGTGAAAGGACATAGCCTTTTTTTTTTTTTTTTTTTTTTTTTTTTTACTGTAAAACGTGGTTTATTTCCTCAACTGAAGTACAGAACAGCGTAGCTCAGCAGCCACTTGCACATTAGGAACAGCATAGTTGAACGATGTGCTGTAAACAAAGTGTCCTTTTATGAGTTTGTTAGTGGAACAGAACAGGAGCTGTAAGTGGGGCACGTCCTGACCTGGGTGGGACAGTTTAACGCCTCAGGAAATATCTGAGTGGATGGAAGCAGACAAACAGCGGGGAGGTCAGGGGCGGGGGTAACATGTGGGTTACAGTCTGATCAATACGCATCGATTTTCAGGGTCTGCAGACGGAGCCCCTTTCGATTTCAGACCCAGAGCTGCAACAGCTCACAGAAAACAGGTATGAGCAGTAATTGGGTTTTGAGCCCAACAAAATAAAAGGGGAGGAGCACTGTGAGAACTTCAAGTCGTTATGATTCAAGGGACCGAGCAGAACAACATGCTTCCACTCAGAAATGTGTTGTGAACTTAATCTAGAGAGTACTGCTCCCTTCGGGTCTCTGCTTGATTCCTCAGCTTCTCTTACCCACGTCCTGTACTTCTTATTGATGACAAACTTTGCCTCAAGGGGAGCGGTCGATCAGTTGGTGACCGAGGTCTGCTGCTGCTGTCAAACTTCAGCTGACATGGATCTGTTGCACCGACGGACGCACTGAACAGTTTGGGGAATTTTCTTCACTCGACAGGACGAACTGACTGCAATTAATTTGTCTTCAACTTTTTTTTTCTTAAAGTTATACCTACGTATATACATAAAGAAAGAAGAAGAAAAAAAAAAACTTTACCAGACATGCAGAAGTTAAACTCAAGCGGGACGCACTGCAGCACGCTGCCCCGGGACGCAGAGCTGCAGCTGCGGTTGGCTGACAGCGGAGGCTCCGGGGAAGGGAGGGAGAACGGCGCAGGGATACATTTCCTCACCCAGCCCGAAGACCAGGGCTCGTTCTGTACCAAGCGGAAGATGCTTGTCGGCTTGGATGTTATATGTCTCTGTGTTGGTAAGCAGTTTATTCAAGTCTAACTCATAAGCCTAAAGAAGTCACTGCTTTCGTGGGCCTTTTTACAACATATAATTGATGATCAACTTTCTTTCTTTTCAAAACTCTCACGTGCATGCTAGGAATAAAGTTGCTTTTCGGGGAGAAAGGAAAGCAGCGACATCAAATGGGAATTTGGTAAAGTTAACACAGCTGCAAAACTGTTTTCCAGAAGTTCCAGACGTGGAAAATGTTCCAAGAGGAAGAAAACTCACGTGGGGGAGAAAGAGGGAGGGCAGGAGAGAGGGAGGGAGGTACGGCCCAGGGCAGGGGTAAGGGGTGGGAAGGGGGTGGTCATCTGGCAGCAGCAGAGCTGTCCCGAGAATTCATCTGTTCCCATGGCAACCCCACAAAGTTCCCGGGACAAGAACGTGGGAATCAGGATGAAAACATGCCTCGTGCTTGTGTTCTCGTGCTGAAAATTACCCCTCCTCACCGAGCTCTTTAGCCTGTCTCACTGCAGGATTACTGAACGTTATCCCCAAGTAATTTACCATGCGCAGCTGAAAAATTTTCTAGGCTTATTATGTGATAAATTAGCTGGCAGAAGCACAAAAAGAATTCTTAATACCAGTATAATAATTGGGGAACCTCTGCCAGGGCTTAATTATGATATGGGAACAGTAGAAATGAGCTATTATGAAATGTGGATGTCAAACAATAATAGCCTTACCTAGGACGCAAATAACAACAAACAACGACTTTCCGTATTAATGTTCTAGCATACCTGTCTTGTCTCGAAACAGAAACCATTGCCTGCTTCATGTTCAGACAAAATAGCAGATGTAAACAGTCATAGTTGTAATACCAATCTACGTGTACAAACAGACGTGTTTATTTAGGATTTTTCTTGTGATGGGATCAAGATTCAGTGCTGTTATGTTTGGCTGGAAGAGCACAGGTGATGAAGCTTTTATAACAGTCTTAAAAGCCACATAATCAGAACTATTATTGCTGTACTTAGACTGAACTGAACTTTTCAAACATGCGTTGAAAGGATATAAAGCAAATAGGAATGTGAGAATGCTGCATCAAACTTAGAGTAAGTTTGTTCATCTGGACACAAAATATAATAACGTAATGTCAGTGTTTTTTTTTTAAGTTTCATTCCTTTTTATAAATCGTGATGAAATATAAATATGTTTACACTTTTACTTTTCTTTAAGTTATTATTCCTTTTACAAAGAAATGAGATTTCACGGCTGATGTTCACAAGAACACAAAGTAAACGTTTTAAGGATGCATTTCAAGCTGGTTCAAAACTTTGCGTCTGTAGGTTCAAAGCGTATTGGCTCTGTGTTGAATCTTAACCTCGGAGTGGTTGGTAGTGAGTGCTGCTTGGTAATTCTAAAGGTTGAAAGGGTAGATTGGTTTCTGCTTTTCTTTGTGACAAACACAGGGAACAGAGAACTGATGTTGTGTGAGTAAGTGATGATTCGTTTAACTAGCAAACACGGGAGAGGTAGAACCCGTCAAGGCAGACCAACGGGTCTGCTCGTTGGCAGTTGAAGTGTAAAAAATAAAGAGACAAACAAAACTGCTTTGTGAGGCTCTTAGATTCAGTGACACACAATTCTTAACCCTAAAGGTATGCAATTAGCTTTTCACTTAGCACGCTTCTTAACAGCTGGTTCCGAAAGTGGTTGGACACCCGTCATCATCACTCAGTAGAGGAAAGGTCAGCTCTGCTAAAACTCCAATTGACCATGCGGCTTTCATTCTCGCAGAGCTTCTTCTAAATTTTTATCCTTAAAGGTTTTGGATTGAGATACATGCATTGATGTTTGGTAGACGGCAACTTGCTGCAGAAAAATTGCAGCGTAAATTGGATATAGTATAATTCCCAGATCCATACTTGGCCTTCTTAGAAAAATGAAACGCTGCACAGACTTTTGTACCTGCTGCTTGGCTGCAGCCTGTCTTTGGGAAGAACACATTTTCTTCATGGGCTAGGATTAGTTTTACAATGTAAAATCTGTGTCATTTGTTTGGAGAGAGACCAGAGAAGTAAACTTTGCAACAACAAAATTTAACAACATATGCGCCTTAATCTAAATGTGGGGCACAGGAATGTAGTCGTCACAAAACATAGTTTGACAGATTCACTAGTATGTAGACATGAAGGATTTTGTGTCCATGTAAAAATAAAGTCAACAGTTGTTGAAGTGTGCAAATCTTCTCTATTTGTATTAGTTAAAATGACTTGTGGTAGAAACAGTTTGAACAACACATTTAGATTTATTCTTTCCAAAAAGCAGGTACTTTATATTTGTTGTGCCTTTTTCATCTTTTACCGTTATTACTGAAAAAGAGAAACAATTTCACCAGATGAGACTCAAGTGTTTGGAAGCGAGATCAAATGTAGGAAAACATAGCTTCGTGACATAATTGGTGAATGTTGTGTTTGATTATGATTACCCCACATTTTTGTCTGTTCTCTTTTTGTTTTTCCATCACCACAGTGTCCCCCATCTCTCCCCCTGATCCTTGTGGTTGTGATCACTAAGACACATTTATTATTTATGGCCAGAGTGGATGGTAATCATGGCAGGTGGACTTCTACAGCCCCGCAAATAATGCGTTAAAACAGTCGTTTGCAATTGTGATACTAAACACACTGTAATTAATCATATCACATGTGGCTCTAAAAATAAATTACAATTTATAGAGTGACCTATCAGAATACATTTTTATCTGGTATTTCGGTTTTTCTTGGTCAGTACTGGCCATACTTGCAAACTTTTGATCTGTATTTTATACAAGCCCGTATATCATTCAAAGGTGTATTTATTCTATTAACTCTATTCACACATTATGTAGAACAATTGCAGTCTGATGTTTTCAGGCCGTTATTTATGTTATTTATGATGATTTTTCACTTGCACCTAATGAAAACATAGCATTTAGAATTAGAATATTACATCAGACCAATGAAACAATATTTTTAATATACAAATATGAGATTAACTAAAATAATTTAAATATCTGCTTAAACATTGTGCTTTTCAAAGGTACTATTAATCTGAAAAACAAGCGTGTTTGGAATGAGTTTTCCCATTTCATGTTTAAAACTAGATATATTCAGGATCTTTGCTGTAGGAAAAAAATCTTTGATCTATTGAAAGCCCCGGCTCTATTGGATAAATTGCTAGTAAAATGCATTAAAGTGTGTTTTTCTTGAGTTGTTTGAGAAATTTTTGTTGCGAAGCCTAGCTAGCATCAGATCCACAGTGCGACCTCTTCTTGTGAAGTTGGAGATTCTTTGCATGCTGCAGTGAGCGCCTTTAAATCACCACACCATAACACACAATCGGTAATAAATGATATTATTAGCTCTACTGTCTGTCATCTGTTTGATTCATCCTTGTCTTTGTCCTGGTAACCAGCATGCTTGCTGACAGCAGTTGCTGAACTTTGACTCATCTGCTGGCATTTGGAAGTGAATGGCCCCACTTATTGGAAATGAATCGGACTCTTCATTTCATAGGCTGCTTTTCTCTGACGAAGAGAAAAAAAAGAAAATCCCCCTAAAACACATTTGTTAGATCTTCAGAGACAGTTGACCTGGAGTATTATTCGTGCTTTGGATGGGGGAATTTCACCCTGAGGCGTCATCATAATTATGTGATCACCTGAAGAGTGATTAAGTCTTCTGAGGCTTTCAGGGCTTTTCCTCTAAAGTTTAGCTCAATGTGGCAACATAAAGTTTCTATGATGTGGTTACATTTCTAGTCTTCAGGGTTATTGACAAAATAAGCAGAGGCTTTGACACCGGCTACCTGATTCTTACTCAACACCAGGTTTGCTGAAAATTGTTATTCTTCAGTTATAAGGCAGGGCTGGTTACAGGCTGCAAAGACATGCACATAATGCTTGCTTCATAAAGACGGATTGTTCTGGATCAGCTCGGCTCTCCTTGTGTAAGCTGCAGAATGCAAATGCCTGAGTTTAGTCAAGTGTTTATTCGTGTGCTTAAGTATATGTATGCATTCCTGTTGAGACTGTAGGGTTCAGACTAAAACAGAGCTGACAAAATCTGCGCCCTGTGGCTGGGGCTAAGATTTAGGGTCCAAACTTTGAGAGGTCAGCACATTTTGGGTGTTTGTCATTTCTAAAGAGCAAGCATGGACAGGTCTTCCTGTCTTTTCACAGCTTTCCACCTGCATTTGGTGTTCTTCTCCCTGTCATCACCCCAATAAAGCCTCTCACAAGGATAATTCAAGGATAATTGGGCAATAAATGAAGGTGGCATTAGGAGTCCTCCTCTAAGCTTATACTGGACCATTAGGAAAGCCTCTAGGGTTGACCTTCTTCTAGAGGTTAAACACTGACCTGTGTTCTTTTCACACGTTTGATACGCACAAGAGGCAGAAGTACAGAAAAAGACATGGCTGTGGTTTGTCTTAGCTAGATTCACAAAATGAAAGGCAATTAAAAAAAAAAAAACAGTTTTGCAGCAGAATGTGTTTCCCAGCTGAAAAGTAAAAGAAAGCTGTATTCAGATTATCTTCATTGTGGGAAGCAAGATTTGGTTCCAAGACGTGAAGCAGCATGCTGCGACCATAGATGGCCAGTATCTATGATAGAAATCAGGATTCAAGCAGAGCTTGTTCATTCGACTGTATCTCCACTTACACAACATATTCTTTGTCCCTCTCTTTGCTTCAAGCAAACTTTATTTTAGCAGTTCAGGTGTCAGTAAAATCAGTGATCCAAGTGTGTTCTGTTTTTTACATCTCTATGTGTTTTGGGCGGCTTTATGCCAGAAGGTTTTATTCCTCGTCTTTTGACAGAGAAAGCTGCCGAGTGAGTAAGACGGCTGGAGGCCAACGCGTCACAGCACGTTTGCATGTGCCTGCTCAGGAATATTAAATAGCTTGCAATGTGTGTAATTTAGTGTGTGTGTGTGTGTGTGTGTGTGGGTGTGCTTGTGTGTAAAAGTGTATGAGTCATATGGCTTC